TTTTTTTTCCTTTTTTTTTTTTTTTTTTTTTTTGCTTTGTCAATTTTCTTCAAAAATTAATCAACGATTATATTCTACATTTCCACTTTTGATACTTTTGCCATTTTCGTGATTGTTCTGATATCTGAAAATTGATGGAGCGTAATTTATTAATTTGTTAAAATAAATTAATGACAATCGAATCGATGAATATTCATGCATAACTTTAGAAAACTTTATTTATTGACGTTTATTAGGATTTATTAGGATTTATTCTTTAATGGATAATGATATAAATTTTCCTTCTTCGTTAATTCGCTCGTTCTGCTGCATATATGCTTGTTACAGGAAATGTTTAAAAAAAAAGAAAAAAAACAGGGACCTTGAACGTCTCTTGACGTCATTATAAACGAGTGAATCAAGAAACTGTTCTTGAAACGCTTAAAAAGATTTTTTTAATTATTGGAAAAATTAATTATTATAATAATTGAGACTGTTGGCTGTTAATAATTTAATAATATTGGAAAAGTTAAAATTATTGAATGAACATTGTAATAAGATGAAAGAGAATGATCTTGATAAAACAGAGTTATTTCAAACAGGAAATCCATGAACTGAATGAATGTCCTTAACGAATCTTGTTCGATTGCATCAAGGATAAATATATAAATTACGGCAGCTGCTATAGTTGAATATGGAAATACTGGAAAAAGAAGGAAATAGAAATAAATGAATTTTATACTTGGAATTTTTTTACTGGAATTATTTGTCACGATGACTTAAAAATCCTGCACTTTCTCCTTTTTGATGTATTTTTTTTCTTTTTTTTTTTGTAAGTTTATTACGATAATACACGTAATTGCTAAAAAGAAGAAAATTTAATTATAATGGTCGAAATAATAGAAGAAATTCTTTTCAATAACTTTTTTTTCAATACTATAATATTATCGCGAGTTCATTGTAATATGTATAATGCATATTTACTATATACTTTTTAAATTAACATGATTCATGCGTTCCATTTTTGTTATTCTCGACTTGAAGAAAGAAATTTTTTTCGATTAACTTATAACGTTTATAATTTCATTGGTAATAAGATATAATTTAATTAATAGAAATATGCAAAAATTTATAAAAATAATGACAATCCTATGTGACCTTCGACAATAGTTAAAGGATTGAAAATGTTAAAGTGAAAGTGAATCACGAACCAGTTGTATCTGCCGGAAACTGGTTAATTTTAATTATGATTACCTGAGAAAGATTCTTTTTTTTTTAACGTTCATGCATGATGAAATTTTATTTATTAAATTTAAGTTCATCGATCTCACTGAACGAAGAAATTATAGAAAAAATTGAAGAAAAATTAGAATTAAAGAATAATCTAAAAAGAAATCAAATCTAACTTAATTTAAATATAAAACGATCGATATTATTAATATTACGATATTTGAAAAATATTCTTATTAAATTTTAATTAAAAAATTTTTAAAATTTTCTGTTATTATTAACATTTATAATAAATATAATATTTTATTCACGTAATTATATAACGTAATAACGTAGAGTCAATTTTATTGAGTTCCATTACCATGTTCTTTGTGCAGTCATGAATTGTACATTATTCTTCGCACAATTAACGCAGTAATAAATCAAACTAAAGAATGTTATCAGTTGTTACGATCGTAACATTTCTTTTAGTTTGTCACAGGATGTCCATTACTAAACTCATTATATTGTACTATTTTTTACAGTATCAATTGAAAAGAAACTTAAATCATACATCACATTATAAATTAAATGTTAAGAATACGAAAACTTGATTTAATATCAACTTTGTTATTTTAAATTAATATATCATGAAGTAATACGAACGATAATTATAGTACAATGATCGATGAATACCCATATTGTAATTATATAACGATTGTTTAAATATTTAATTATTAATTTAGGCAAAGAAGCAATAAAATTAGTTATTAAATATTGACGAAGCATATCTAGAGCGCACAAATTTACAGAGCAAGAATAGACAAGGAAAGAAAATAGTAGGAAAAGGACGGAGATAGGTTAAAAATATTGAAATCAGCGCCATCTTCAGAGTGCCGCAAATGAAACTCAGAAACAAAGGACAGAAAATGGTGCGAGAAAGATAGAGATATAAGAATTGACCGTCAGTACCATCTCTCGACTGCTAGTGATACTTCTTCGAAAGGGTAAGGTAGAATAAGAATTGACAATCAGCGCCATCTCTCGATTGTTAGAATACCCCTTCGAAAGGATAAGGTAGAACGAGAATTGGCAATCAGCGCCATCTCTCGACTGTTAGAAATACCTCTTCGAAAGGATAAGGTAGAATGGGAATTGACAATCATCGCCATCTCTCGACTGTTAGAAATACCTCTTCGAAGGGATAAGGTAGAATGAGAATTAACAATCAACGCCATCTCTCGAAAATCTTTAAAAACAAAGATGTTTGTAGTATTCGTAAGATGGCGCCGTGGGTCAATTCTTATATCTCTATCTTTCTCGCACCATTTTCTGTCCTTTGTTTCTGAGTTTCATTTGCGGCACTCTGAAGATGGCGCTGATTTCAATATTTTTAACCTATCTCCGTCCTTTTCTTACTATTTCCTTTCCTTGTCTATTTCACAGAGAAAAAGAACAAGTTCATGCGCTCAAGAGACACAACTTCAATCTATCTGATTAACTTTATTATCTATTTTTTACCTAACTTATCGATTAAAAATCTTAAGCAGAGAGTATAATAATTTGAATTTTCATTAAGAGAGTATGAAATATTAAAAATTCTTTTGTGCAATTAATAACATAATTTGAACAAAATTAATTTTATTTTCAATTAAATTCAAATTAATATAACATTTTATTGGTACTTGTGAATACCCTTTATTTCGATCGTGGAAAAGAACAATTACATTTATTCTCATGTCATGTACACGTGTATAAAGTAGATGTCTTTTATCAGAATACATGGGCAGCCGTTTATATTGAACAAGCAAAAGGCGAAGGAATTTTCAATCGGATATTTTTTTTTTTTTTTTTTTTGCACTTCATTCAACGGGATCAATGTTCACTAATCGATGCAATTATTATACCAATATATATTTTTATAAAATAATCAAAGTAAATCGATGACAATACCATTTACGTTCAATTTAAATTCTCTAATATTTCGTTCGTCTCATCGCGTTTATATATCTCGCAATTCGTACAAATTCTTCTTCTTCTCCATTGTTATTCTTTTCCCGTAAAACAATTTCGATCAGCGAACGTTGATTCGAACGTTAATCTTTGATACGAAGGAGAACAAACTCGAAACTCAAACAACTACAAAGTGCGTAGATAAAGAGTAGACAAATTAACGGCCTGTAGATTTGCCTTTTGTGTAGACGAATTTACGTAAAAACAATTAACATTTTCTCACGAGTTCTCACGAATATGCTCGCGTTCTTAATTCATAAATAAAACGACGTTTCCTCGTCGTCGTAAAAATCTTGATTCTTACGACACGAGAAAGTCGACGAAAACTTCTTGTAATCGTAATCGCTTGAAAACGAGAATGGTGCAAGAAACCTGGATATATCCTGTTTCAAAAAGAATGTACGTTGGAAACATTTATACGTGTGTATATATATATATATATATATATGCTATTCATAAATACAAAGATAATTTATTATTATTTCATGCAGGTTAATTCTCCATTGCACCATTCTCGAATATCCTTGAAGAGATTGAGTAAAAGATTGGACGTGAAGTTATTTACACACACATATATATATATATATGCGAAGTAAGTACTAATTTTTTTAAAAAATCGATCACACGACGATACACAATCTCGTGTGTTTGAACTTTGTTTAAACGAGGATCGATTTAATTATAATCCTAAATTAATGTAAAACGTTGTACGTTTACGATCGTTACGTACATATTTATCGACTAGCATCGTGGACTTAATAATAAATAATCACTGTCGAAGTGGCACGATATATTTTGATATTAAACAGAATCTCGTTTCGAAAATAATCCTCGTTCCGGTCGTTTCGTCATTGTACAATCGGTAAAACGTAAAGTTTTCATGACTAGAATCATTTTAATCGATTTTGCTAGATCCTTGTCGAGATCTTTCGCACTATGATTATACTTAAAAAAAAAAAAAAAGAATAATTAAGAAAAATTCGATCAAACGATTTAAAGGACGTTTAAGGAGAAAATAAATGGTTGTTCAAACTCGTGGTAAAATTACGAATCTGGAGAAACGTTCATCCCTCCGTTAAGTATTTCATAAAATTAATTATCTATCAACGATCGATCGTTCATTAAACATAACGTTTCAATCACAATTCCATCCTATATATAGGGGATGGAAACTGCAGCATTCTCTTCGAGAATATCTCGAAGATAATTCCACTTCACTCCCCGCAATTACTGGTTCGTCAAGTTTCCAAGTTGAACATTGTTTCCTTATTTTAATTAGTGCAGATTCTCGCTCGCGACGTATAACGTTGCAGAATAGTTTCTGAACTCGATACACGTCCTAATACACGTGATATAATATAATACAAAGTGCCAGTTTCGTTTCGAAATTTCTATTCCTAATAAGATTGTATCTTCTTTCTAACGAATAACTATATTTAGACTAATATATGTATATATATATATATATATATGTATTGTTTTTTTTTTCATTAAAAAATTGTGTCGTCGTCGCATTTATCAGTTAGGTAAAAAATAATTCGGAATATCGTATTTCTTTTTTCTTTTTTCTTCTTTTTTTTTTCTTTTCTTTTCTCTAAATTCGAAGACGAAGTTATCGAAGAGGGTAGAAAAATACGGTCTTATAAAATATAAACGTGATACAGATACGTAGATTCTGGTTTGATTTGACGTCGAATCAACTTACTTGCACGGAAATTTACTTCCAACGAGCAATTTCTTTTTTTTTTTCTTTTTTTAGAACTTTTATGCAAAATTGATTTCGCCAAAAGTTGCAGGAGAGAGATTTTTCGACTAATGTTCGGATGGTCCCGGGTCCAATAAGGTATTTCGCGATACAAAAATAGCTTGTAACAACAGTATTTATCAGTTAGTTAAATCATTACACAATGTTCAACCACGAGTGTATTGTTCGAACCAGTTGGAGGATAATTGGATATCGAGGTGCATCTCATACTTTGTTTTCACACTTTTAATTGATGATGATTCATTTGCCCGAACAGAAACCCAACAATACACGCTAGAAAAAACTTCTCTCGTTCGTAATATTTCAATATTTCATTATTTGTTGAAAAATAAAGCACCGGAGTATTACTTCTTTTTTTTTTTTTTTTTTACGTATGCAATCACATCCTGTTGAGTTTCGAGAGAAAATAATTCATCGTTCATCATCACGTACGTTCAGATACGCCGCGATATTCATTTTCTTTTCACTCAACGATCGCACTCAATGCGCGCAAAAAAGCGTTTCTTTCTATTCTTCCTTTCACGAGCTTCGATCACCGAGTCAATCGCTCGAGACGAGTCTCGGAACCGATTCGAGTCTTTTGAATTATATTCGATTCGATCGCATAAATATTCGCGATTGACGACGATGGTATAATCGTTTTAATCGAATAATCAAAGGCGATCAACGGCCGATGATGGTCGGCTCGTCGGCCATCGCGATCTCCTCGGTGGGCGCCTTGTCCCTCTTCCGCTTCCTCGAGAACAGCATGAAGGCGCATCCGGAGAGAAGGTTGCACAGGAACACGATCCACGCGAGGATCAACGAGAAATTGTACTTGAGGATCGCACCCTTTGGGAACGTCGTGTGTATGTGTTTGCTCTCGAACTCGATCGAGGAGAGGAGCACTTGTATCACCACCATGTTGCAAGCGGCTGCAACCAGGTTAAACGTTCACCCTTCCAAACTTTCGCCCCCCGAGAATTGGAGAGGAGATTGTGCGCTTTCGGATATCAGAACGAAACGAAAAATTCGTTCGAAAATTTTAAGTAGTCGAAGAAATTACTTTTAATCGAGATTGGAGAGATAAGAAATCTTGGAGCGAACGTGTATATAGTTTTAAATAATTAGTGTGGGGAGAAGGAGAGGAGTAGAGTAAAGTAATTGGCTAATTAATTACCGCTAATGAAATGTATCCCGCCGGCCAATCGCTTGAACATGTATCGTGGGTTGCGGAACGTGTAGATCGAGAAGAAAAATCCCATCACCATCACGAACAGGCTGATTAACGCGAACGATACCTGTGTCCTCGAATAATCTGCGTGAGTGATAATAATTCATGGATACGTGGTTAAAAGGTTTAAAAAAAAAAGGGACAATTCGATAATATCGATCTAATTAATATCGATCGCAGGGAAGCGAAATTAATGAAAATTCGTTAAAGTTGAAATTCTTGCGTGTCTCGACACGACAGATTCTTTTTCCAGAGATCTTACATTTGTTTTTAATTTTTTGCTCGAAAAAAGATCTTTAAAAATTCAATTCTTATTTTCTTATCGATTTATTATTGAAACATCGTACGAATTTGAGTGTAAAATTTCGTACGTATTTTGTAAAAACGTAAGGGTTCAAATTCGATCAATTTGGCTTCCAAGCGGAATGTAAAGTGTTAGAATACATAATAATTCAGCATGTAATTAAGTATATTTAAAAAAGAAGAAAAAACGTAGAAATGAAGTTAGAAAGAAAGTTATTTCAAAATACGAAAAATTAATAACTTCTTCTTCTTCTTCTTCTTCTTTTTCCATTTTTCATCTTCATTCTTTTCGCCTTCGAGCATCGTTCGTTCACGCAACAACAACTTTACGACATACAATTTCTTCCCCCCTCCCCCTTCCCTCCAAAAAAGAAAATTGGAAACAATTTTCCCAATTATGTCCACTTTCGAGGTAGACCACGCGTAGTACGCGTGTATCTTCGAAGACAATTCATATCCTGAACAAAAATTCTCTGTCTATTTTAAGAGAATGATTCTTTCAGAAAGAATTTCAAAAAGAAGAGGAAAAAGAAGAAGAAAAGGAACGTAAGTAATTTCACTTACTGACTACTGTATTTAATCCCGGATTCAATTTGAACTGTTTCTCGGTAGGGAACATGTCCTGGTTCTTGCACTCCTCTAGAGAAGAAAATAAGAGAATATTAGATCAAGAGGGTAACTTTTTTTTTTTCCTTTTTTTTTTTTTTTTTTTCTAGTTTTCACACTCGCAAGTTTGATGTATGAATCGGACCCCCGGTTAAATCCCTCCCGGTTTACCGGTAATCACCCTATCAATCTTCATTCCTCTCACACCCTTCCCATTTACTATTCTCTCATCCTGCTTATCTTATTCTTTTCTTTTCCTTTCTTTTTTTCCCCCATGGATCGCCTCTCCCGTCCGTGTCCCGCGTCACGGTAAGTTATTTTTACGCCTCAGCCTTTGAACGAGGGCTGAGGAGAGACAATAAGAACGTGATCAATATTTATACCGTGTGATATTTAATCCTCCCCGATCATCCGAGGGATCGTCAATTTACGATCATTTTCGAATCCGTCTCACCTTTTATCGAAGAATAATTTTTACCTCGATTATGGAAAGGAATATGGAAAGAAATAAACGCTGATGAACTATCTGGAAAATGGGTTGTACTCTTTTCATTGAGGAATGATCAAGAATTTTTGAAATGTAAAAATTTTTGCTTCGAAAAGATTATCGATATCGATAAAAATTAGGTGTCTTTCATTGAGAAATGATCAAGATCTTTCATTGGGAATTTTTGCCTCAAAAAGATTATAATATCGATAAAAATTAGATATCATTGAGGAATGATTAAAAATTTTTGCATAAAAACTTTGCCTCGAAAATATTACGATATCGATAGAAATTGCGAGATATTTGAAGAATGAATTGTTCTTTCGTCGAGGATTAAGAATTTTTCTGTAAAAATCGCTCGGAAATCTTATCGTAACGATAAGGGTTAGATACCGTTTCATTGAGACATAATTAAATAATTTTTGCGTAAAGTGTAAAAGTTTACTAAATTTAGGAAGATTGATCAAAGGTGAAGGGGAATGATCGGTGCTCGGCCAATTTACGATGATATTACAGTTGTCTAATTTGGTGGCTGTGACGTATGCATGATGAAACACACGTGTGGAACAGTGAACGTGACGCGTGACAAGTGAGCGTAGGTCTACAGACGCTGACATAAACGTGATTAACTACAAAGAGCGAAACTAGGTTTGTTGTAGCCTTTGAATTTAAATTAAAAATTTTTTAAATCGTTTAAAAAAGAAGAAAGAAAAAAGAAATGGAACAATTACGAAAAAGAAATAAAAAAAAAATAAAAGAACCGAATCGAAACGATAAAAATAGACGATTGAAAACGATCAAACATCAAAAATCACTTTACCCGATGCGAAAAATGTCTCTGAAAGTTTACTGAAAGAGAAGTTAAAGTGGGCTCAGACGTGGTAGATTTTTATTTGAAGTTAGCCAGCCTGGTGCAACGAAGTGCGAGCAAACGTATAAATTAAGTTAAACCAAGAGAGAGAGGTTTATAAAATCGGGCCTGGTTCATCGAGGTATGATAAATCTCTTGATGACACAGTGGATGGATATCCTGCTACGAAATAAATTAAAGTGTACAGCGTGCGTATCGCGTGTTTCAACGTGAAATGAAAATGTAAAAAAAAAAAAAAAAAAAAAAGGGGAAGTAACCTTAAAAGGAGAAAGAAACGTCGAAGAAATATTTCATACACGCGACTGTACAACTAAAACGTTGATATTGCGAAAGATTTGTTTACACGACACGATATTTTATTCCTCCATTAGATTCTATTTAAAGCGCTCGAACAGAATAATCATTCCACAATGTGTTCTCCTCAACTAGATAGATCATCGCGCGCCCGTGGATATCATTGCGGAGCCCGCCTTTTTTGAAACGAAGCCATCGCTATCGTCCTGCCACCTCTTCAATTATTCAATTTAACAATCCGAGGGATTTTTGATGAACGTGTTTTCTTCTAACTGGCGGATGCTTGAAACGAGTCGTTGCACTTGTCGAGAACTTGATTCTGAATCACGCGTTCACAATTATTGGGAAAGCGGGAATTATTCGAGCCAATTATCAAGCAGACACTTGGCCATCATTGGAAGCGATTTTCAACTTCGATTTAAATTACTCTATTAAATTAATTATTTTACAAAATTCTGATAAACTTCTTTTACGAACGAGTAATTAAGAAATAAAAATAAATTTGTTTTCATCACTCTGGAGACTTGATTTTTGGAATATTTTGCGCGGGAGAAAATTAAAATCGTTGGAAAAATTAATGGAAGGAAGAAATGTGAAAATTTGGAAAGACTTACCGAAGGGGACCAACTTGGTGGAGTTTTCGGATTCAGGTACTATCCCTTGAACACAGCCTCTCCAGAGACCCATATTCTTGTAGATTAATCTTCTTCCTTTGGCAGGGTCGCCGATGGGTAAACCGTTCTTATCCGGGGCTTCGATCGTGAACCAATGATCGGTTCCAATGGCGACCGACCATATGCACACAGACAGACCCACGAGGACTGTGCAACCGAGAAGAATTCGCCTCTCGAATATAACCTGTTCGACACACGCAATGAAACTCAAGAACGCGTTCCATTATAAATTATACTTGACAAATGATGTTTAAAATTTTCTATAATTTATATAAAATAAAAAAGGTTGATAAACAAGTTAACTACATGCAACGTTTCTCGCTTATAATTTTGTTTCGTACAGAAAATATCCTCGACCTGTTTAAAAATTAGAGGAAAGAGTTATTAATTTTATTGCTCGATTTGAAAAAGAGAATGGGGAAAAATTGTAAGAGAGGTATAATAGCTGTACCTGGTTGTACAAAGCTTTCATTCGACTCGCCATTTCGTCCATTCGCCTTCGAATTCTAGAAATTTCTTATTTGGCAATCTCTCCCCTCTTCCTTTGTCGGATTAAATCGGTTCGCGAAATTAATGCTCCGCCATATTGCGTTTTTAAATCACGGGTCAAAGCTCGTTTGAGGTAATGTTACTTTTATTACACGGGTGCACGTCTGTCCGATTAAATTTATCGTTTCTTCAATTATCAAAGAATATCGTTGATACTTGGTAAAATTTATTTAATATTTTATAGAGAGCGACATTTCGTTTTTCAACGTTTTTCCAAAATTTTTCATACTTGAGTTAAATCCTCCTGATCTAATTTATCGTATTTTTGGATTTACGACATATTTAGCACGCAGCTAAATCCCGTCGAAACTTTCTTTTACATAATTTATCAAACGTCTGCTATTTTACAGGAAATATTTCTTTGCCTCTCGCACGTTTCACGAAGCTGCTTTTTCAAAGATTTCAGTTCTCTTCTCTAATTCTCAAACGTTATCTTCGTCATTTCTTTCGAGCATCCATTCCGACTATTTTTGTCGCTTTCCTCGGTGACGTTCCACTCGGTGGCTTCCATTTCCTTTCTTCTATTTCACGTGTCGATTTTATTATTGTGCCGATCCTCCGCTGTCTCTGTTGTCAATTCGAAAAAAATATTCCTTACCAGATTATTCGTGTATTCTCTCTATTTATCTCTTCGCTGTTCCCTTCGTGAAAAATACACTTTTTCTTTTGCAAACAAACACCTGTGAACAAGGCAAAACGAAAATTGATGAAAAGTTTGCCAAGGATCGAACAAAAATCGATAACAAAAAATTAAAATTTAAACGATTTGCCAACAAATATCTAAATGTGTCCTCTTTGCAACTCGTGTGTAAATATTTGGCACAAAATTCAAATTCCCATATGGATCTCCCTTTATCGTGATTAATTGTTCGTTGCATTAAAATTAACAATTTTGTTAGATTAACGCAGCAGGTATATATCACGGGTGAAATATATGAAAGCTTGAAAAGAAAATTGAGAGAATCTTATATTTATCAATTATTCTATCGAAATGACAAGTTTCCCATTTCTAAAAATTTGAAAATCTTTCCTTTTTTTTTTTTTACATAAATATAAATTTTCTTCTACGTATATTTAATTTCCCATCGAATTCTTCATAATCTTTTCCCTCTAAGATTGTTATAATAATTAACTTATCAATAGAGAATACTAGAAACGTAATTCCAATTAATTCCAAATTCTAATCGTAAAACTTAAAAGGAAGAAAAATATGGTAAAATTCATTGATATTTCCACGAACTATTTCAAAAAGTAATTGTAATAATTAATTCGAAATATTTTATTTCTTGTTCATACAATAATAAATTATTACGTTATTACGATACAATTAACACATCCAATAAATTAAATTGAAACCAATTTTCCAATGAAATACGAAAGATGGAACGAGTGCTTTCTGAGCGGACAAAGAAAGGAGGACAGCAATTACATAGGAGCTAAGAATTTCTCGTTTTCGAGGATAAGAAGAAAAAGAAAACTGGAAGAGAGAGAAAGAGACACGAGTACGTGGATGCCCTGAAAATAATTTGGCAAGAAACCTTCTGTCGAAATCTTCTATCATTATTTCGTTTCTGGTCTCCTTTTACCAGAAGGTTAGCTTGTCAATGTCTGCACAAGGAAGCCAAATTAAATAACACACTATGCCAAATATAAGATTTTCTTGTCAAATATCGAGTTTCTAGAGATTATTGCAAAGAATAATTTGGAAAACGTGAGATGAGGACAATCACTCGAAACAACGGGTTCATTGTTCAAGTATTCGTTTCTTTGTCATCGAAATTTTTGGCCATCTTTGCAAAGTCATTTTTCTTTTTTCTCGAATTTTATCGATCACTTTTCTTCTCTCGTTTTTACGATGGAATATTCGCAGAATATTCGTTGAACTAGATTTATAAAGAAAATAAAAATAAAATATGATTAAAGCTGAGTTTACTTCTCAAATATCGTAATAAGCGACTATACACTTTGAATCATTTGCATATCATGGATATTTTCATGCGCAAATTTTGCATAAATGCATAAATGCCCTCACGTGCATGTAAATTCAATGGAATTAACGGGCACGTGCTTTCTTTATTAAGTCGGGCGTTCTAACAATTCTTCAAGTTATTATAATCATAAGAAAAGTTTATTATTTGTCACAAAAATAAACTTTACGCACTCTACTTTGGAAGGTATTGTACGTGAAAATGGCTATAAATTGTAGTTGAAGAACAATAAATAGAATCTAATGATAAGCTGATAAAATCGTGATCTTTTAAAATTCTACAAATTTTCTTTTATCCCTTTGAACTTCTTTACGCAGCGTAGGTATAAATATATCGAGTAGAAATGAAAATCTTAAAAATTATAATATTTTGAATTTCGAATGAGAAGCGCGAGCGATGAAAGTACATCGACGTTGAAAATTTGAATAATTCGGATTTTGAGGAACGAAAATAGACGGGTGTTCGGACCTAGTGGCGCGTGAACAAAACTTACAGATTATAAAGTAGAATATTTATGTATTTCTTTTTATATTTTTCCAGTTAATCGATCTATATTCGTGAGAGCGCGCACAGGGAAAAGAACAGGGGCTAGAACACGAGCATTGTAATAAGAAAATTTAGAAATGGAATCTGAAATTGGCAAGACATAGAAATGGCAGATTCTCATTGTACGAATCGAAAATTTATTCCCTTTGTTTCGTAATCCTCGATGAAATCCCCAACGAAATGATGCGTTGATTAAACTTTTTCCAAACGATTAATTCGTGTTTTGGCACGAATAGTCCAGAACAGAGAAGACTGCATTTAAATTCAGATATAAATTTAACGCGTTTAATATATTTATGCCTGTATTGTAATTGTATAATATTGTTGTATAATATTGCATAAATGAGAGAAGCGCGTTTGACCTATGATATCACTTCATAGCTCTCGCTCATTAAATATCAGTATTGGAATAACGAAGTATTGATAATTATTAATTATTAATTATTAATAAATATTATTAAATATAAAACATACGTATCCACAGAAAATAAGAGCTTAATTATTATGCCATTAAAATTTTAATTAAGTTTGCTCTTAGTGTTATTCGATAAGCGAAACGTATCAGTTTCGATAAAAATTAGTTAAACGTAGAAATAAGAACGTTCCATCTTCGAAAGAAGATTTAATCAACGCGAGGAATATGATGGTTGAATATGATAGTTTCCTAATATCTGAGATCGATGATGAAATATTTTTATAAAAAATTGAAATGGAGATATTATTTAACTTTGCAGATTTTCTTCTGTCGAAGATATATTTTATCTACGAATTAAATTGGAAATAAAATTTAACCAATTCTCAAATACTTGTCCAAACAAGTTGTTATAGATTAATATTGTTCTCGAAGGATCAACGCCTTTGGATTTTCGTATTTTAATATCGATATTAGCCACGAAACGATCACACGAATGAGACCACTATTAACAGGCCAGAACGATCAGCCCAAAAGTATCTCAAAGCTTTCGGTACGTCGATGGATATGTTTATCATAGAGCAGATGTAGACGAGAATTTACGAGACTCGTGATAAACGATCTTCGTGATCAATCCGTGAATCATTATACACAACCACGTCATTGAGAATGATTCCATTTACCAATCGTTTCTCAATTAACCATTTTTATCGAGTTTATCAATTAAAATCCATTAAATTCAAAAGATACTTTTAAAATCTATTTCTCTTGATTAATTTCAAACAATTAATCGATAAATAACTCTCGTATTCTCAATAAATTCATTCTCCTTAAATTTTCGTTCCCTTCGTCTCTCGTGTTTCTTAGTATAAATTCATCAAAGAATTTATTTTACTAAACGTTGCTCCAAAGTAATTATATTTTTGCGAAACAAAAACTGTTCCAATTAGATCGAAGCACGCAACTTTTATAAAAATGGCAGATAACTTTACTAACAAAACTATTACGAGTAATTTTCAATAGCAGAGCACGTATATTATAGCGTATTATCGGAAAGCATAGAAGGGGAGGAAGGCATTTGGCCTAGTTTTTTCTTTTTTTTTTTCGCGAAACACGTCCATCCCCTCCCTCCTCTTTTCCTTTCCATCGCGCATTAATGAACGGGGTTTTCATTTTCCCTCCTTTCCACGTAAAAGCACTTCATTTTTCCACGAATACCGTGCTAATAATTCGATTTCCCCGATTTTAGAACACCGACATAACCTTATTTCGATCCGTGCCGCGTGGCTTTCTCTCCCCCGTGAAACGAGAGTCTGGTTTTCGTTACAAAATTAGAATCACTGTTTAGTTCATTAATTTTGCAACGGGGCAAAAGATTGTGGTTTGACTGACACCCGCTAGGAAAAGCTAAAAATAAGACAATATATTCGCGTGGCAGCGGGTTTTCGATTTTATTTCGTAAATTCGTAAATCGAGGATCGAAGATGGTCGATCGATTCGGGCGGCTATTCGAGAATTTTCTTTTCGAACGAAAAAGATTCGAAATGAAATGGAAAAAATGAAAGGAATTTCTTGGCTGATGAATGGATCACGAATAATGCGACACGGCTTGCGTCACGTATAAATAGTTGCACGATTGCACAATTTTCTATATCCGTGAAAATCCGCGTAGAAAAGCTGTCTAGAAATTATACATGGAAATGATTCTCCATTTTATCGAGAAACGAGGCACGAAATTGAAGCGAGCGACTTTTGCCGCTTCGATAGGACAGGAATAAGGTGGTGGCGTTATTTATTTATGGAACACCATGGACGAAGTGGAGCGCATTAATATCTTTCCTATCCTCGCCTTCATAATGTACTTTACCCTAGTTCAGTGTCTAGTAATATACATAGGCTTGCGTATAAGTGGTACCAGCTTATGTCCAAGTCGATTGTGGATTTGCAATCTTTAGTTGCGACTGAAACAACAATTTGAACAATTCAAAATATCTTTTCGT